AGGAATTTAGAATCAAAGATGAACAATTCAATCACTATTAAATGGGAAACTCAAATTAAAATAACTTGTCATTATCAAGTACATAGATTTAGTACATGCTGTTTTAAAGTAAGATTCTGAGGCCAGCGACAAGATCAGTAGACCGTCTCATGCATATATCTACAACTAGCAACACCAATTGAGAAATATAAACAAACACAAATGCTAATACATGGTGCATTTTACATGGCAAAATACTCCAAGAGTTCTGCATCATCATCGGCATCCATCATTTCCTCGTCATTATATCCACCCTCTTCACCGAGAAGCCATTGTTCAAGTTCGTCCACCTCATCATAGTCATGCATGTATAAACCATGCGAGTTATCCCACTGGTCGGACCCCAGCTCCTCAGCATGCAATGCCACATGCAAGAATGGTCTATTCCTAGCTAAAGCATCCAAAATATCCCTACTTACACTTCCTGTCACTCCCAACCATCTCAACCTTGGAAAATACGGTTTCTTTAACCACCGGAATGAAAGTTGGGTTATCCCGCCACAGTTATAAAGATCCAACAGCCGCAAACTACAACCATGCCATCTGTCCTCATCAACCTGCATTGAAGCTAATGCCATAACTGAAGTATCACCAATAAGCGGACATTGTCGCATTCGAAGTTCAGAAATTGGAACCCGACATTTTGCAAGTGTCAGAACTCCATTATCAGAGAGGTTAGGAAGATTTGATAGGTCCAGTTGTTGTAACTCCAGTTTAGACGAGCCTTCAAATAAAGCAGAGATGCATTTATCTGTAAGTCTCTTGCATCCTCTCACAGACAGAGAAACTAATGAATTTATAATTCCTCTTAAGTATGACAATCCAAAATCACTTATATCAGAACCGTCCAGCAGCAAAATCTTCAATTCCAAAAGAGTGCTGATAGCCCTTAAGGCTTCATCTCCAAGGTGTTTGCAGTCTCTCAAGTCAAGAACTTTAAGGCCTGTGTTCGATACCAAATTTTTTATTGCATGGTTGGTTAAAAGGTTGCACCACCTCAAGCTCACATGAGTCAAAGACAGGGATGTTGCAGAGATATCATGAAAGACCAGATCAGTTAAATGGGTTCCATAAGACACCCTGAGCTTGTAGAGACTAGAGCATGAATGCAAGATTGTTTTGAATCCCGTATCTGTAACTTGACAAAAGCCTACAAGACAAATACTTTCCATGTTTGCACACTTGTCTGCCATTAACAGCATTCCAAGATCATTAACGTGCCTAAAATATGTAATAAGGAATTCTTGGCTCCGAACCAACGATAGATGTTTCAGTTTTCCATGCTCATTAATCTGCTGAAGACCATAGTCGGTGAGATCAAATGTAATTGTTGGTTCTATGATAGGTGCATCTTGAAGATCCAAATGTGTTAAGGACATGAGACCTTTCGATATAGTGCTGACCATGGTGTCAGTAATATAGTCTACAGAAAGGCACAATTTCTGAATGCCAGGCAGAATGGATGGTCGAACATGATTTGGTGATTGATGAGGTCCCAAACTTGGGCTAAGCAGTTCAGTCACCATCACTGAAGAAACATACCCAATCTCAAGAGAAGTAAGTTTTTCTGAGGCTAAAGCCCATACTCGAGCGAAATTATGACGAAGAAATAATGAGACATCAAACATCAAAATCAGTGCCTGCAAAACAATACATGCATATTAGACAGGATATGTGTGTTCTAAAAGGATTTCGGAATGTCATGCTTAATTGTAAATATGCGAAACCTTGACAAAGAATCTTGAACAAAGATAGATCCCATGAAAGGAAATAACTCAGGTGCATGCTACTGTAAGAGCTAGGTGATATGCACAAACATATAGCCTATTGTTCAATTATAAAGCCAGATTCATGTCAACCCAATATAGTATCACTGCCAACACAATTAAATTCCAAGAACACAATAAATATCAGCATGAGGTAGTTCCCCAGACAGGACAGCACACAATAAATTAATGAGAAGATTAATTTGGCAAATTCTTAACTCCAATACAGGAGGCTCTGTAGCAGGATCACTAAGCAAGATTTATCAAACAGCAACAAGTCCACAAATTTAATCTCTATACTTCATTATTGTATTATTCTTGTCCTCCATTTGACGGGGGAAAAAAAGAAGAACACTCACGACAAGCTTCGTAAATGTATGCCCAAGTATGCTTGCAACTGCATGCTCAGTGCATGTAAATCTAACAAGAACAGATATTCAAAATTATGAGAGCTTTTGGATAGCCAATAGAGTAATCCAAAAATGTGCCTAAAGCAGTATTAAGCCCATCATCATACCAAATAGTTGCTAAATTTTGTGGTCTAAAGCCGGCTATTTAGGTGGACTGTTTAACTATGAAAATGAATGCTACAGTTGGGGTACTAGAGCGAACCTTTTTGAAATCAACGGGGATTTCTTCATCCTGGTTGATCATCTAAGTTGTATGATTATGAATGTCAAGCAAACATTCACCAAGCTAAATACATACTTCTTGCAGAAGCCAATGAAGAGTAAAATGAAGCTGCTTTTACATTTATTCGCATCCATACTAAAAACTAGCTGAGGGAATGAGTAATTACATTTTATCACACTGATTTCTAAAATATGTAAAGATTTTCTTTTGAAATTTAATGCAGCTATGGAACAGCGAACACCAATCTATTCAATGATTAAACTTCAATGGCAATAAATGTGCTAAAGATTAAGCAATGCGGTGTAAAATCTCACCAAACATTTCTTGCCACTAAATTACTACTTTACATTTTAATCTTCATTAATTACTTCAATTTGCACTTGAGCCTTACTTCTAATTGCGTGCAACCTTTGAGTAACTCCTCCAGATCTGATATATGAATAGCACGTCCTCTCTTTTCCGCCACTGATCCCAAGTACAAAAACCTGAACCAAAATTCAAAAACACGAAAAACCAATAACAACGCAACAAATCTAACACTTCCAGATAATCACATATTACAATCACGGACATTGCTCAGTTACCCCACAATAACACGCACACACAGAAACCCCTATTTTTCTTGCATGCTCATTAACATTTCATCACTACTAGCATCTAGTGTCAGCTACGACTGCCAGCATTTCACATACATACAAAAACCCGCATTTTCTATTGCATTTCAATTAACATTTTACCATAAGTTCATAGCTGTCTGCATCACACGCACAAATAAAGATACAGTTCCCATCAGGCAAGCCACGCGCGCAGAGTCAGGGAAAAAAAGTCTTCTAAGTTTTTTTTACCTTAAATCCGCGCACTTTCCTCCAATCTCAGAAAGCAATTTCCCACTAAAATCCGCGCAATTCTGTAAATAAAGCTCATGCAAGGAATCCCGAACCACAACATCAATAGCAGAATCATCAAACCGACCGCAATCAAGCTTCAAGCTTTTAAGGTAAGGATTTGTAGGTAATAAAGGCCTTAATAAATCAATTGACGGTGCAATATCCTATGATAAAAAAAAACACATAATTAAGAACACATCAATCAAAAAATCAATAAAAAGAAGAGATCTTTTGTGGGTTTTGCATGTTTTAATGATTGGCTTACAAGGAGATGGAAACTGGGGATGAAAGTGAGGATATGAGAAGCACAGGCGTTCAAAGTCTTGCAAGTAGAAGCAACGGAGCAGATTGATGCCACGTCAAGTTTCGATATTATGGTTGCAAGTACTGTTGCTGGTAGCTGATCCAAGGTCTCTTCTTCGTCTTCAGGATTGGCCATCTTTCTCAATGGCTTTGCTTTCACTCGATTTGGTGGAAGAGACGATGATAAAAACAGAAATCCGTGATGTGTCAACTGTTCCTTCAGTTTATTTGGGTTTAAAAGGGATTTAGTCCTTAAATTCTCTTAAGTATTTCAAATTAATCTGTCAGTTAAAATTATTATATTCTTTTTTTCTTTCTATTATTAACTAAAACTTAAATTCTCATTAATTCTAAAACTAACTTGTGTATTCTCTTGCCAATTTTATTGGAATTATAAGTGCAATATATGTTTATTGAATTATTTTTACACATTTAACATATTGCTAAATATGCTATTTTTATAGATTTTATTTATTTATTTTTATGTCATTTTACTTTTTAACAACTTTATTTCATTTATTTCTTTAAAAAAAATTTAAAAAAATATTATTTTTCAAATTTAAAAAAGTGCCGATGTAGTTTGTTTTCAATATGTTTATGCCGAACTAAAAATAAAAAATAAAAAATCATTCATAATTTTTTATCTTTAAACATCAAATTTTATTTGATATCACAATTTTTAAAAATTAAAAGATGCTCCCTTAAAATTTGTATATTTATTATGGGAGCAAAGTTGGTTTCTCAACTTGATTAATAGACTTATATTTGTCTAGTTGGGTAGTAAAATCTCAAAAATTTGCAAAGGAAGGATTCAATTGAAATATTTTCAATATTTGAGGACTTATCTGTAGTTAGACCTTCCCATTTTGTAAACCACAAGTCTTCAGGCAATCGAATGCTAACGTCAGACGGGCAGTTTTTTCTATGGTGGATAGTTCCGGAGGAACTAATTGTCGGTTGTTAACCCGTCCACTGCAGTTCACTAAGGACGATAAGAGAGATTTGCGCTGAAAAAACATGCATTTTCCTTTTACAATCTCCAGTTTCTCACTGATATGAGCCTACCATGCTATCTCAAGAGAAACTTATTAATTTTTTTATATTGATTTAGCATTCAGGATAAAGTCAAACCTGAATCCAATTTTCATACATCACGACCACTAAATCCTCTCTAGTTTGGTCTTAACAATTTTATCTACGAAAGTTGAAAACAAATACAGAGGAAACCCTGTATCTCATCATGTTTGTCACTGACACTGACTAAGATGCATCTTTTGCCATCAAACAAGTCATCCTCTTTTCATCTGCTCAGGCCGGAAACAGTATCCTAATTCTAAGACAGTGTGAAAACAATAGCGCCAAAGCCCCATCACTAACTCGACTCCCCAAAACTGAAACCTCTATCGGCAGCATAATCCACGAAGCTATAAAGGGGCACTACACTATCACCGTATTTCTCAAACCCATCCAGTTCCTTTTTAGCCTTGGCTCTCAGCTCCTCCGCCACCTCTATAGCCTTCTCAACCCCATATACAGCAACATAACTCTTCCCTTTCTTTTCCTTCTTCTCCTCATCTACCTTGCTCTTCATCATTTTTGCTTCCAAGATGTCATCTACGACTTGATATAATACCCCAACTGCTCTTCCATATCTCCTCAATCTCTGTATCTCATCATCCGTAGCACCAGCTAGCAATCCTCCACACACTGCAGAGCACTCACCCATTTCACCAAATTTCTTCTCTTGCACAAATTCAACAGAGTTGGGGCCGCCCTCAAGGTCAAGGAACTGCCCAGCAGCCATGCCTGTGGACCCCACAGCACGTGCAATCTCCGCAATCACGCAGAGAAGTTGTGGCTCTGGTACAAGGTCAGAAGGTGTGTGGGAGACAATGTGGCGAAAGCCAAGAGGGAAGAGTGCATCCCCAGCAAGGATTGCCATATCAACACCATAAATTTTGTGGTTTGAAGGCTGACCTCGACGTGATGGGTCATCGTCCATGCAGGGAAGGTCATCATGAATTAATGAAGCTGCATGAACCTGTCAAAACCAGAGGATAATGGATTCAGTTACTGTAGGGAAGGTCGTTGAAAATCAGCAATGTTGTCATGCAAAAAGAAATTTTCTACATAATTCATACATAGAGCATTCTCCTTTTTCGCCAAAATAATGGAAATACTTCAAGTGTTAGCATTCTCCTTTTTATAAATAGAGTTGTTCCTCAGTATCGGAACCAATAAGTTCAAAGCAAAATTCCACATTATTCTCTGATCTGATGTGCAGGACGAAACTGAAATCAAAATATTTCTACCTAAAGAGAAGCATCCTGAATCCTTCTTCAAATGAAAAGATTGCAAAAAAGAACGATATCTGTATCACATATCACACTGAAAACCTTAAAGTTGCTCAATATAATAGAGCATCATAACATCATCAGTCCTCCAAAATCAAGATTAGAGTTTTCAGCGAGATTCCTCTAATAGCTTAGCTTATCAATGACAATCTATATAACAAAATTCACACCAAAATTAGCTTCGCATTTACCATATCACATCTTAAGCAGAACAATCGTCACGTAACCCCATGTAACAAAACTAATGAGTGCAATCGAAGAACCTACCTAACCCACTTCACCCAATAGTAATCAGTCATAATTCAGTAATTTTCTTGATTAAGTTCCTAAACAAAGATTATAATTAACTAAACAGCATAAAAAAATAAAAATAAAAAACCGAACCAAATTAAAAACAACACTAAAAAAGAAGAAAAAAAATTCAAAGATGGGATATTTAATTTTGTTACCATCTCAAGAGCACAAGCAGTAGGGAAGGCAGCAAGACGATTACCACCAAAAAGCTCACAAGCAGCAACACACATAACAGGAGGAGCTCTTTTAGCACCTTTAGCGAGAACAGAATACCTCATAGCTTCATAAATCTTATCTGGATACTCAATAGGAACGGCTTGGTCTAGTTTCTGATTGATTTCTTGAGTCAAAGTTGTCCAATAAGTCTTTAAATCAAACTGGGGTGTTTTTGATTGGGTTGGAACTGATAAAGAACATTGAATTGGTGACATTTTGTTAAGTTTTCGAGAATAAAGATTTGGGCTTTTTTTAGGGAGGTAGAGAGTAATAGGTGCTGATGGTATTGCTGCAAGAGAAAAAACCATCTTTACAGAATTCTATGTTTCTCTAACAACTGAGAGCGTCTCTCTACACAGGTTGTGTTTTCCTTATGTGGGAACTGGGAAATGAGAAGCGTGGAAAGTTAAAGAGTCTTTGAATGGAGCGACTTTGGTTCATTTATGATGGATGGATTGGGGTGGAGAAAGAGACGACGTTTCGTTGATTTGGCGTGATGAACTTTTTTGATGAAGCGTGATAACCTATGGAAAATTTCTCATCTATTATATGCTAGTGCACCATAAAGAATGAGACGTGGGACCCGCTTTAATGCTTCTTAAGTGCCTATTGTGAGCCTTACCAAAGATGATCCAGACGATCAGCCCACTGCTTTTGCCGTATGTATTTGATAAAAAAATATTTATTTTTGTAAAGATTTTACTGCTTGTTGAAAATTGTAAGAGTGAATTTTTTTGTTAGCATGTTATTTCTTTATAATTTTTTTTTAAATTTAATCATTAATTTACTAAATAGTAGTTTTTTATTAATTTATCATCTTAATTTTAAATAGATTCTATCTTCAAAAAATATTTATTCTATATAACGTAAGATTAAATTTGATAACTAATAATTTAAATAAAAAATTATTTTTTAAAAATGAGAATAAAAAAATATTGATATAACATAATAATTAATAAATAATAATTTTTTAAAATCATATGAAAAATAAAAAGAATGATTTTTTTTTTTGGAACATGGAGTAATATTTTTGGTTGATATATATTTTTTTAACATGTAAAGTATATTGAAAAACATTAGAAAGAGTAGTAAATAATTACCCATTTGTCTATGGTTCTTTTCTCTCGTACCATGTAATTGTATAAAATCCACTTTGTGTTTTCGGTTTATCAATAGAATTATTATCTTTGGCAAAAAAAAAAAAAAAAAACAAGAAAGCAATAACCCACCTATAAGTTCACAATATTCACATGCACAAGACATATTCAAAATAGGTATAGAAACTTGATTTAGCAAAGGTTTATTAGAGTTTGCTCCTCTTTGAATTGGCCGGGACATGTACAACCACATTAGGCTGAGGTATTATACAGTTGGATTATTTTTCCAGGGCTTGTCTAGCATGCCTTACCGGCCTCTACGATTTCTTTTGCTCTTGCCTTGTGAAATAAGATGTGTAATTCTAATTCTGGGCTAGCCGGCTAGGCATCGCAACCGTCATGTGAGACCTGTTAAGAGTTTCCTATCCTAAAACCTATTTTGGGCTCTTTCTTTGTTGTGTCATGGGCCTTCTTCATTCGTTTTAACAAGACAACTGTTTTATGAATTTCAAATATATTAATATTATTGCAATTTCGTAAATACTTTAAAGAAATTATAATTTTAAAACGATTGTTATTACTGAAATGACTTTTGATTAGAATTAAAAATTGTTCACTTTACCCCTAAGGAAACCGTTCTGGAAATTCTCGTAAAAAGGTTTGTATTTTCTAAAAGACTTTAGACTATAAATTGCAGGGCTTTACCCCTAAGGGAACCCTTCCAGAAATTCTCGAAGGCGCAGGGCTGAACCCAGGCCTAAGAGGGGGTTTGGAAATAGTTTTCAACCAGCAATTGACGCGCCTCGGTTAGAACCTCACTAGCTGCGTCATTGCCCCAAGCGCAAAGATGAATGTCTCTATTCACGCGGCTTCCTATTTATTTTGCACCATTTGTTTTCCCTACTCCGAGTTTGCTCGATGTGGGCTTTTCCACTGAGATTTCAGGATTACATACTATTCGCAAATCCAGAATCGTTAAATTGCTCTCTTTTGCAAGAAGATATTAATTGACTTCATCTCTAGTCTTCAGTATTCGAAGTTATTGGTGCTTTTTCTCTTCTCTCAGCGGGTGTGATAAAGCTTACAGAGAGGAAATGCAACGGCTTTTTTGTGGAAAGGAAAAGAAGACAATGCCTCGGGTGAAAAAGTTGCTTGGTGTAAGTAAAATTACTATGCGTAATTAGCAGGAGTGTGGGCTTGGCATTAAGAAGAGTAGGGAATGGGATCTGTTTGTGTCCTTGAGTAGTTAACTGCCCATAGATTTTTGAAAGGTTAGAGATTCTGGAGTTTGAGAAACATGTGTGATTGTACATGGTATTGGAAGAAGCTCTTAAAAATTAGAGATGTAGTTTAGGATTAAATAGTCCATGTCTTTGGTAATGCTTAGGCTATTAATCTCTGGGTGGGATTGTCGATCCAAGTTCCTTGCTGTGTGGTCACACTGAGGAAGATCGTGACTTTTTTTTGTTTGATTGCCCACATCCTAAGTTATATGGGCTGCAAATCTGCTGAAATGTGGACACAGTAGAAGCATTTTGAGGATGTATAATGAAGTTAAATTGGGCCAAAGTTCATTTGCAGAAAAATATTTTTTAAATGCAAATAGAAATGTGAGGACAAATATTAAAATTATTATATAAAGATAAATTGAGGCATTTACCTTCTTTGGTGAAGCGTGATAATCACTATCTGCTGCACCATAGAGAATGAGACATGGAACCTGCTTTAATGCCTCTCATGTGCATATTGTATAACTTTTATCAGGATGCACTAGACGATCAGTCCACTGCTGGTGCTGTATGTGTTTGTGGAGGCAAAAGTCTTAGGGTGTGTTGAATACAATAAAATCATGCTAAGATCGGTGCCATGTCCTTCCAAAAAGATGATCCAGTCCTTCAGTTTTTATACATATATTTAATTTAATGATTAGAAATATTTTCAAACAATTTATGTATTAATCAAAACTAAATTTATTAGTCATTGTGCTAAACAAGTGAATAAAACTAGCAATTCGAAAGGAGCGAGCAAACTTGGTTCCTATTTTGGTTTGGTTTTTTATTTAAATCTACTTAAAAAACCCAAACCGAAATTATATTGATTTATTGATTTTCAAGCTCCAAAAGTTTCAGTTCATATTGATTTTCCACTTTGGTTTCTAAAAAATTTAAAACGTAACAAATTTATATATTTACTAAAAAATTTGAAGCATAAGTTATCTAAAAATTTAAATCAATATCCACCGAAAACTAAACATTTTATTTCATTTAAATCCAAACAAACTATATTACAACGAAATTCTGTATTGGATTTCTTCGTTTCTGCAATAGGCCACAAGAGTCCACACACTTTCGAATCGAAAACAACCTCTCTGCTGCTGCGACCCCCACTAAACACGGAAAAATTCTGGCCTTATTTACAAGTCAATCCCCACCCTTCAAAAGTGAAACGGACCGATGTGGGATAAAGGCATTGAAAAGGTGAGTTCACTAATTCACAATCCCACATAGAAAGTGAACAGGTTTTCTGGAGTCTGAGGATGTGGGGTGGTGGACTTGTGCTTCTTGTATTACCTCTCTTGGTTTACAATTCCATTTAGCTTAAAAATCGAATCGAAATTGTTAAAAACTGAATAGAAAAATCATTTGCTCACCCTATTTAAACCAATATAGTAAGGTGTCCGTCAAACGGCTCACACTCGTGACTTGTCCCTATCCCATCTTTCGATTTGTCTTGACTTAATTACTTAATATGTTTTTTTTTTTGGAAATATATATATTACCTTATTATTATTTTTGGTAGCATTACATAAAAATATAATATTTTTGGTAATACGCATTTTTTTAACATATAAAATTATATTGAAAAATATTAGAAATAGTGAGTAATAACCCACCAATCAAGTTTACACTATTCACATGCACAAGACATGATTCAAATTAGGTATAGAAGCAAGAGTTGATTTAGCAAATGTTTGCTCTTCTTTGGATTGGCAGGGACATATACGACCAAATTAGGCTGAGTGATTATACATTTCCATCATCTTTCGAGGGCTCGTCTAGCATGCCACATGTAATTCTTATTCTGGCTAGGTTTCGCATAGCATGCCTTATGTAATTCCTACTCTGGCTAGGTATCGCAACTGTCCTGTGCTTCCTATTCCTAAAATATATTTTGGGCTCTTTATTTGTTGTGTCATGGGCCTGGAGGCCTGGCCAGGGCTAGCCGGCTAGGCATCGCAAGTCTTGGGAGCTCTGTTGAGTTTCCTACCAGCTCTCTCATTCTTTTGCCATGGGCCTTTACATTGCTTAGTCTATCTGCTTTTTATTATAAGTATCATAAATTTATAATCATCCCAACGCGTCATATAGATAACAATCGTAACGTCTCAACTTAAAATGAATAAACAGAGCAAAATGACTTTAGACTAAAAATTGTAGGGCTTTACCCCTAAGGGAGCCCTTCCAGAAATTCTCGAAGGCGCAGGGCTGAACCCAGGCCTAAGAGGGGGTTTGGAAATAGTTTTCAACCAGCAATTGACGCGCCTCGGTTAGAACCTCACTAGCTGCGTCATTGCCCCAAGCGCAAAGATGAAAAAAATTCTGCACGCGGCTTTCAATTTATTGTGCATCATTTGTTTCTCTATTCTGTGTTTGCTCGATGTGGGATTGGCCACTGAGACTTCCTTCAGGCCTACAGCTATGCAAATCCAGCATCGGGTAAATTGCTCTCTTTTGCAAGAAGATTGCAATTGTTTTCATCTCTACTGTTCAGTATTCAAAATTATTGGTTCTTCATTCTCTTCTCTCAGCAGGTGTGATAAAGCTTACAGAGAGGAAATGCAATGGCTTTTTTTGTGGAAAGGAAAAGAAGACAATGCCTCGGGTGCAAAAGTTGCTTGGTGTAAAATTAGTATGCGTAATTAGCTGGAGTGCGGGCTTGGCATTAAAGAGATCAAGGAATGGAACTCTGTTTGTGTCCTTAAGTAATTAAGTGCATATGGACCTTGATCTTAAAGGGTGGTTCCTTATGGATAGCTAGGATTTCTGCCCATCATTTGTTTTTTGATTGTCCACATCCTAAAGCTATATGGGCAGCAAGTCTGCAAAAATGGGGACACAGTAGAAGCATTTTGAGGATGGATAATGGAGTTCAGTTGGGCCAAAGTGAGAGACCTCTTTGACGCCATAGTAGCCTGGAATGCAAACATTATTCGTTCAATTTCCATTATATCTCTAGTTTCTGCTTCATTATATTATATAGATAGAATCAGAGGCAAAAACAGAGATTAAACATCTGACATCTCACTTAATCTTGAATTCAATACCAGAATTTCAAAAAAGTGATGATTGGATTCAACTCATCACAGTTTAGATGGCTGTAAATTAATACAAGACGATAGGCTTTAATTAATTTCCATTGTGCCCACCTTGACCCCCATAAAAAAATATATGTTCGAGCTTACTTTTTTGAATTCCACCATCCAGCACACTATATCTTCCAATATCTGCATACTGTTCAACATTTTCAGCAATCATATAGTGAGTTTTATTTGCATATTCGACTTCCCAACACGCTGCGTCGTGTGTCATTTTCCCAATAACTTCCTTGCCGGCTCCCATTGGTGCACTTGGTACATCGGGAGGACCATATACTTGTCCTCCCCAATCAATGTAAGAAGCAAAATTATTCAATCCAGCCTTGAATATCCGATAATTCCAAAATCCAACAACTGTATTGTTGTTACCGACATAGAGGTACCAATTTCCAACCGTTCCATCCTATAGATACAGAGCCAAATGGAAAAGAAAGACAGGAGAGAATTTCTATATGTTCTTAATTAAACATATACAATAGTTAAAAGAAAATTGCCTACCCAATCGATCATGAATTTGACAGAAACTATTTGTAGACCTGGTATTGTTACAGTAAAAACAGAGTCGATAGGGATTTCTGCAGATACATGTACAAATCCAGGACAATATGTATTGAAACAAACAGACTGCCCAGCCTGTATTAGAGTTGAAATGTTGTGAGTAATATTGAACTCCATTTATCAGAATAAAAAAACACATCGATAGAGAAACATACGCTTGTATATGTATACATTCTGGTCAGGTGATCTTTGTAAATAAGTGGATTCACCTGAAATAAGAACAAACAAAAGAATATATATATATATATATACACATTGGAAGATTTTCGGATTAGCTTTAGTATTAATTGAAATTAAATCCATCATTTGCTAGACTCAATCAACACTAAAACAAGCTTAAGTTTTGATAGGCCACAGAATTGTCTTTCAAATCAAATGAGCCCAATTTTGATTCCTCAAAATAAATATTGGAATTTAACTTTATTTTATTTGGTAACTAGGAATAGAGTAGTAGAAATCAAAATGAAAGTTTTTTTTTCTCATTTCACAGTTGTTTAGTTGAAAGAAATGAATTGAGAATGAGAATGAAGAGTGTGAATATAAATGAAAATTACACACGACTTTATTCTTATTTAAAATGTGAGAATAAAAATAAGAAACAAAAATAATTTTTTTTCAAAATAATAATATATTTCATTTATTTATTGTATATATTAACTACTTTTATAACCACAACCACTATCACCACATTTATTATCACTATCGTCACCATAACTACCACCACCATCATCACCTCAAACACTACCATCACCATCACTTTTATTATTTTTACAACCATTATATTTTAATAAATTTATTTTTTAATCATTATTATTTATTTTTATTAAAAATTAGATATTAAAAAATTTAAATTACATTTTGATTTCTTATTGATATTCTAAACACGATATAGGAATGCAAATATCATTTTAATTTTTTAATTTTCATTCATACTAGAAGAAGCTTCGTTAGATATAATGAAATTATAGACATCACCAAAAAATTTAAAGATTTTGTACAAATCGGGATTTTTTGTCAAATCTTCTTGAAAATTGTAGGTGATGCTCATAATTTCAGATCCTCGATCGAGAGAAATATTGTGACAATTTACCTTAATAATCATGGAGGTTGCAGTAGTACTTTCAATTGAAAATATACTGAATATGGAACAAAATATGTTGTGAAAAATGCTAACACAATACAATAATCACATAATCCTTGTAAAATTAAGAACAACAAAAAAATATTTTCTATTATCTATTTCATAATAAATAAAAACAAGAAAATGAACCAGTATTGAAATTGACTTACCATCCACCCAGCTTCTATATAGTCTGCATTATTTTTCACTTTCATGCGAGAATAACTTGACTGATCATTTTGGACTTGCACCTTGTGTAAAGTAGTATACATCGCACCTCCATAGTAATTTATTTTTGGATCAGCTTTAATGCGCATTGTAGCAAACTGTAACATATAATTAATTACGAATAACATAGATTGCACCATAAAAAATAAAATAAAATAATCATTAGCAATTAAGACATGTCTGAGTAATTATTGTAACAAGAAATAACTCACATGGAGACCAGGAGTTTCACCAGATTGAGGGTTGAATTTGGAAGCATATATTTCCGATGCCAGTTTAGCTCTAAGAAGATCTTTTTTGGTAATTTTTTTCATAGGGACTGTACCAACTGGACATCCCTTACCGTTCAACCATATCTTATTTGGATCGAAGATGGTAGAGTTATCTTCGTATGATCTCCTCCTTTTGGGATGAGACGGAGGTCTTATCTCAAAAGAAACAAATCTTAAGAATATTGTATTGAAATAAGGAGAGATAATTGAGAATAAGGTAAGAAAAAGTTAGAAATTTCACCTCAAAATCAAATGTATGATTCTTCAATAATTGATGGTCAAAAGCTGGTTGTTGGTAGAAATCAACACAATTATATATATCTCCATGTATTGTCTTTGGAGGAAAAAATGATTAAATATTAGTATAGTGTTAAATTAAGGAAAAAGAAAAAGGAAATGTTTCGATCTAACCTTAATGGTTTTGGCAGCTGGCTTATTCATAAGTTTAAGCTGCTTGTCCAATCCTAAATCTTCTTCTCTAGATAGCTTCTTACCTTCCATTCCATCAAAGGTAAACATGCACCACAGAAAGAAAATTGATGGGACGGCCTTTAAAGTCATGGCTCCAACCTGAATAACGACAGCATTTTAAATTGTGTTTCCCATAGCTTTTACCAATAAAATTTAGTGTATGTATAGGATCCTTTCTTATAGAAAATACATAATTTGTAGCACAAAAAAAAACTCATCCCGAATTCAATATTTTTAGATCTAACGATGACTAAAAAACTTGAGTAAAATCACAAATCTTGATAGTGTGGCTGTTTGTGATTATTTTCATGATATTTCATTGATACTGAAAATAAAATCTATATGTGTTTGTGCAAGTAATTGCTAGATTATAAAGAATAAAAAAATTAAGCATTCGTTAAAAAAATTTAATGGGAAAAGACTCGGGTTGGTTGGCGCAATTATTATATATGATGCAAAGCTTTTTATTGTCGTTATGAAATTCTAAAAAACAGAAAAAAAAATTAAAATTAATATTTAAATGCAATAATAGCCAACAATTCAAAACTACCAAATCATAGAGAATTAGAGATATTTATGGTAGAATAAGTATCAGCTCAACAAGGACCATAAGCATAAAGATGAGACGGTTAAATCAAGAAATCGAAACAAGCTAGAATCTTAAGTATTAGCTCAACAAAGACAAGTAGGTGATCCATTTGTATTGCTTACAAATTAGATGCTTGTCTTATGCATCTTTTCTCAAAAATGATGTTTGTAAGAAGCTCACTAACCTTTTGAATTGAATAAGACAATCCGATCGGGATACCTGACTTTTCTGTGCATATATATAACCAATTACATGCCAATTTAGTCCAAAAAAAAATCACAAATAAGGCAAATGAGGATACTGATTAAAATAATTTTAAAGATGGAATGCAAATATGGAAAATAAATTTATCAAATTTAAAATATGAAAGATTATTTCTACAAAATAATGTTTTCTAATTTAATCTGTCAAATGGTTATGTCTTGCCGGTATGTTGTTCTTATCCACTGCGGCATAAGATTGGAAAAACTTCCTTTTTGACGGCGGGTTTACATGCAAGTAAAATCAAGGTTAGTTTATTATGAACAAATTAAAGATTGAAAGCGCTCCTAAGGTTTAAATAGATTTTTTTTTCTTGCGTACAATAAGAATAAAACCCAAGTTTGGAAATATTCGTTTACATGGTAAAATTGATTAAAAAGAAAACTGTAATTTGAATATGCCCAATCTGTTTGAGTGCTCGACGGTAAATTTTTTTTATTTGAGTATTTGAGTTTTAATCTTTATTTTTTTCAGTGTTCATAGTTACTTGAGAATGATGTATTCGAAATGAACATATTGTTATGTGATAAAAAATCGATCCAACTTGAATTATTAAAAAAATCAAACTTTTTTTTAGTAAAATATAAAATTTAAGTGCATAATTTTATTTATTTATTTATTTGAGAATCCAACATTTGATTTTTTGTTCTATTTGAGTTTTTCAGTCACATAAGATTAAAAATATTTAAGTGAACGAGATTCACTAACACATAATAGTTTTTAACTGATATATGATAATAATAATTAAAAAAAAGGATCCCATTTAGATTTATTGAGAAAAATTATAAAATTTTTATAAAAGAAAATAGCTGAGGATAATTCAAAAAAATCAAAATCAGTTAGTATTAGTCGAATTAACTTGACAAGCTTAATGATCAATTTTTTAAAATATTGTAAAGATATTTTCATCTAAATATTTCTTCTTCTTTTTTTGCCTAATTCAAAATTTTTTAACTTTAGATCATTTAAATAATTCGAATTCATTCACTAATAATAATTAGTTTGATTTTTTTAATTAATTCTTATCAGCTATTTTTTTATATAATTTTTTTAATTTTTTTTCAATAAATATCAGCGGAATCCACTTTTGTTACATATCAACTAAAAATTATTGCATGTCAATGAATCTGGTTTATGTCACTATTTTTTAATTAATTCTTACCAGCTATGTTGTTCTTATCCACCGCGGCAGAAGATTGGAAAAACTTCCTTTTTGACACGCGGGTTTATATACAAGTAAAATCAAGGTCAGTTTAGGAATAAAAATTGAAAGCACTCTTAAAGTTTAAATAGATATTTTTTTTTCTGTGTACAGTGAGAATAAAATCCAAGTTTGGAAATATTCGTTTACATAGTAAAATTGATTAAAAAGAAAACTGTAATTTGAATATGCCCAATTTGTTTGAGAGCTCAACTGTAATTTTTTTTATTTGAGTATTCAAGTTTTTTTTTTAAGTGCCTACAATGTACTGTTACCTGACAAAAAAATCAATCCAATTTGGATTATTAAAAAAATCAAACCTTTTTTAATAACTTAATTTTTTATTATTTTTTTATATGAGAGTCCAACTTTTGATTTTTTTTTTTTTTTTGTTCTATTTGAGTTTTTCAATCACATAAGATTGAAAAATATTTAAGTGATCGGGATCCGCTAACACTAAATAGTCTTTAATTGATATATGATAAAAAATAAATCTCATTTAGATTTATTGAGAAAAATTATAAAATTTTTATAAAAAAATAGTTAACAATAATTGAAAAAATCAAAATCAATTTGTATTAGCCGAATGACCTCGACAAGTTTACTTATCAATTTCTTAAAATATTTTTGATGTTGTCATCTAAATATTTTCTAAATCTAATTCAAAAGTTTTAACATTAGATCATCTAAACAGTTTGAATTCATTGGCTAACACTAAACAGTCTTTAATTAATATATGATAAAAAATGAATCTCGTTTAGATTTATTGAGAAAAATTATAAAATTTTTATAAAAAAAAAGTTGACAATAATTAAAAAAATCAAAATCAATTCATATTAGCCGAATGATCTATTCGTATTAGCTGAATGACCTCAACAAGTTTACCAATCAATTTCTAAAAATATTTTTGAATATGTTATTATCTAAAAATTTTCTTTACCTAATTCAAAAATATTAACATTTAATCATCTAAACGAGTTTGAATTCATTGACTAACAATAATTGATTTGATTTATTTTTTTAATTAATTCTTATCAGCTATTTTTTTTATAATTTTTTTATTTTTTTCTCAATAAATATCAATAAAATTCATTTTTTATCATATGTAAGTTAAAAACTATTGAGTGTAAATGAATTCTCCTTACCTAACTATTTTTTTTAAGTAATGCTTGCCAGCGATGTTGTTCTTATCCACTGCGGCAGAAGATTGGAAAAACTTCCTTTTGGACGCGCAGGTTTGCATACAAGTAAAAGCAAGGTCAGTTTAGGAACAAAAATTGAAAGCACTTCTAAGGTTTAAATAGATTTTTTTTTCTGTGTAAAATAAGAATAAAATCCAAGTTTGGAAATATTCGTTTACATAGTAAAATTGATTAAAAGGAAAACTGTAATTTGAATATGCCCAATCTGTTTGAGTGCTCAACTGTAATTTTTTTTTATTTGAGTATTCAAGTTTTATTTTTTTATTTTTTTAGTACCCATAATTATCTAAGACTGATGTATTTGAAATGAATGTACTATTACGTGGTAAAAAATCGATCCAACTTGGATTATTAAAAAAATCAAACCTCTTGTTTTAGTAAAAAATACAATTTAAGTGCCTAGTTTTTTATTTGAGGGTCTAATTTTTTTTTTTTGTTCTATTTGAGTTTTTCAATCACATGGGACTAAAAAATATTTAAGTGATCAGGATCCGTTAATAAGTAACAGTCTTTAACTTATATATGATAAAAAAATGGGTTCCATTTGGATTTATTGAGAAAAAATTATAAAATTTTTATATAAAAAAGCCTACAATAATTAAAAAAGATAAAATCAATTAGTATTAACTAAATGAACTCGACAAGCTTATCGATCAATTTCGTAAAATATTTTTAAGATATTGTCGTCTAAATATTTTCATTGCCTAATTTAAGAATTTTAACCTTCGATCATCTAAACAATTCAAGTTCATTCGCTAACAATAATTGATTTGATTTTTTTTTTTAATTAATTCTTGCCGGCTATTTTCTTTTATATATTAAAATTTTTTTTTCAATAAATATAAGTGGAATCCATTTTTTACCACATGTCAATTAAAAACTATTGCGTGTCAATGAATCCCATTTACGTCACTGTTTTTTAAACTCGAGTAACCAAGAGAAATCAAATAGAAAAGAAATTTAATGTTGAGTACTCAAACATAAAAATAATTATATATTTTTTTCTAAATAATTTAAGTATGAACTATTTTTTGCTATGTGTTAGTTAAAAACTATCACATGACATTTCATTGCGGACACAATAGCTTCTAGTGAGTGTAGAAACTCAAATAAAAAAAAATTCAAAATTTGAGCACTCAAATAAAAAGATTTATGAGTTGGGCACTCAAATTGCAGTTTTCTAATTAATTAAATGTATTTGGCATATTTGCATTCCATCTTAAAAAATATAATAGGACTAATTAATAAGAAAAATTTTTAAAATAACTAACAATGCTTACTCTTATTCACACAATTCGAGGAGAGAGAAATAACCAAAAAAAAAAAAAAACCACATAGGAACCAACAAAAATTACTTTATAGATCAATTTTGAATAACCAGATTTACAAAAACAAGAAAGAGAAAATCACATAAGTATTTAATAAAAATTACTTTATGATCCACTTTAAAGGTATATATATATATATATATATATATATATATTATTTTTTTTTTTTTGCATACCAACCTAATAAAAATAATATGAATATTTTCATCTAGACTTTTTTTTTAATTCTCCCTCTCATATTTGGCTCTCTCTCTCCCATAACTCAATAATGGCTTTCCTTTTAATTTCTATCTCTCTCGTATCTCATAAAACTTCTCTATACATAGAGTGAGTATTGTGTTTTTTATTTTTATTTTTTGATAATTTCAACTTTTCATGGAGCAAGTATATTGTTAATTTTAATCTCATAATTTTGAGATTGACGAAACCCAACTCAATGCATGTTTGAATTTCAGGTTACACACAGCCAGTACAGCATAATAACAAGACATTGCATCATCAAATTGCTACCTTGCTGCAGTCCCATTTACTGGAACGCGAGAACTTAGATGATGCCATGATGCCTAGCATCGCAGGGCTGCTTTCCAACTATTGTTAGAAAGACAAAAATGCTATAAAATGTTTGATTTAACATCAGTTACAGAGTTCAATTGTGTTTTAAACCAGTAAGTTTGGAATCACTTTTCAAGTGAAAATGAATTCCACAAATAGAGTTCAAATATTATAAATTAATTACACGTGAATAAAATTAAACCGATAGAATATATCACAAACAAAGAGGAGTTATTTTGCTTCAAGTTTAAATTCCACACCAGAATTTCGACAAAGTGATGATGATTGGATTCAATTCATTACCGTTTGAAGGTTTAAACCAATAGGTTTTAGTCAATTTCCTATGTACCCACCAGGACCCCCATAAAAGAATTGATGTCCAATCCATCCTTTTCTAATTCCAGCATCCCACGCATCATATGCAGGAATATCTGAAAATGCTTCAACATTATCAGCAATACAATAGCTAGTTTCAAGCGCATATTCGATTTGGTAATCAAATGAGTCCGTAGCTTCATTGCCACTAACTTTAACGCCGCGTCCCATTGGTGCACTTGGTAGACTGGGCGGACCATATACTTGTCCACCCCAATCAATGTAGGTAGCAAAATTATTCAATCCAGCCTCAAATATGCGATAATCCCAAAATCCAACAAGAGCCTCGCCGGTACCAATATAAAGATTCCAATTTCCAGGTGCATCCTACAGGTACAGAACAAAAGGAAAAGGAATGTAAGAGAGGATTTCTATCCTTAATTGATCAACCATCCCATGGCTAAAAGAAAATTGCTTACCCGGTTAATCATGAATTTCACAGCTGGTCTTGCTTTAGTTTCCGTTGGGGAAAAAACAAGGTCGAGAGGGATTTTGCAGCTGCTTGTACAAATCCAGGACAAAATGCATTGAAACAACGAGATGGACCAGCCTATTGTAGAGTTAAGATGTTGTGAGTTAATATCGCATTCCACTTATCATAAATAAAAAACACAAAAACATGTACAGAGAAACTTACGTTAGTATATATATACATTCTAGTCTTATTATCTTTGTACACAAGTGGATTCACCTGAAACAAGAACAAACAAGAGAAATATCAGTGGAGTTTAACTTCTATCTTATACCAGGATTACTGTGATTTAAGAAGTAGTTATTTATATTAAAAATACACTCCCCAAGATTATTATATATTTTAAAAATGCCAACACAATATCTTAATAACATAATTAATTCCCATAAACATGAAAAAAATAGCGTACAAAGAAGCAGCATTCAAATTGACTTACCATCCACCCAGCTTCTATATAGTCTGCATCGTTTTTCATTTTCAAGCGAGAATAACTTGACTGAGAGTTTTGTAATTTAACCTCTTCTGCGATAGTAAACATTCTAGCTCCGTAGTATTTCTTGTTTGGATCAGCTTTAGTGCGTAATACAGCTAACTGTAACATACAGAAAAGGAAAAAAGAAAAAAAGATTTAATACATTCAAGTTTTGAAAAATAAAAAGAAAATAGAAAATAATCAAGCACTTCAATCCTTCTCTCGGGAAAAAGAGTTTCTTAAAGTGATTGGAAGTAAAGATTTGCCACGATAGAATTTATGAGGGTAACAACTCACATGAAGACCAGGAGTTTCCACAGATTGAGGATTCAATTTGGAAGCATACATCTCTGAGGCCAACTTTGCTCTAAAAAGATCGTTTTTAGTAATTTTCTTTATAGGAACCGTACCAACTGGACATCCCTCGCCATTCAACCATATTTTACTTGGATCAAACAAATTAGAGTCATCTTCAAATTCATCTCTCTTCTTACTGGGATAAGATGAATGCGGTATCTGCAATAGAGCTAAATATTCTTAAAGAGTTGCGTTGAATAAAGGAAATATAACTAAGAAAAATGTTAGAAAGTGCACCTTAAAATCAAATGTATGATTCTTCAACAATGGATGATCAAAAGCAGGTTGTTGGTAGAAATCAACACAATTGTATACATCTCCATGTATTGTCTTTCGAGAAAAATAATGATTCAAAGGTCCACATCAATATCAGTATTGTGTTAAATAATGGAAATCTAATTTTTATTAGCATGCAATAAATAATTTTTTTTGATAAAAAAATGAAAGATTCTGACCTTAATGGTTTTGACTGATGGCTTATTCATAAGTTTAAGTTGCTTCTCCAATCTTAAATCTTCTTCTTTAGATAGCTTCTTACCTTCCATTCTATTGCAGCTAAACAGGCACCATATAAACAAAATTGTTTGGATGGTCCTTGAAGTCATGGCTTTTACCTAAACCATGAAAGCAACTTTAAATTTTGTTCTGATAATAATTAATGTAAATTACTTTATAAAAAAATATAGACATAAAAAAATAATAATAATAAGAAAGAGAAAATTAAACAAAAAAATGAATTAACGTAAAAATTTTCTTATTATTTTTTATAGATCTTATATTTTTTACCAACACATAAATTAAATTAAAAAAAAAAAAAAGAAACAAGAAAAGTCAGAAACGAGCTCACTAACCTTTTGCATTGAATAGGACAACCTCAGAACTCTTAACTTTGCTTGGCATACATGAGTACTATTGGTAGAACGAGATTATATATAGATGTACAGATGTAAAATCAATGCTGATTTTGAAAATAAAAATTAATGTCAATTTAGGAATAAAAATTAAAAGCAATCCTGAGGTCAACAAATATTAGGCTAATGAGGATATCATTATAGTTTTTCAAAAGCAAAGCATGGATAATACATTTAATCAATTGAAATATATAAAGAAACGTTACAAGAAATGTTTTCTTTCTGATTTAATCAGTCAAATAGGGAAAATGGGGATACTGATTATTATAATCTTTCAAAAGAAACATAAATATATTAGATACAGTAATTTATCAATTTAAATATATAAAGGAATGTTGCTATAAATGTTTTTTAATTTAATATGTTATTGACTATTGGTACATGTGGTTCGATTTTATTGGATGGCATACGGAGTGATAATATATGTGGAGTGATGATATATGCAAGGTGTTTGAAACATTTCCAATTAATGAAGATGTTTAGAAATATATTACAATGGTAGCTAATGCGATTCAGGTGACAAATGAAAAATATATCTAGTAGTGTGGAATGGATAATCAGGCGTCAAAGCCATTTGAATTTTGAAGAAGTATTTATAATTACAAACTATATAAAGTCAAATCCATTTGAATTTTTGAAGAAGTATTTATGGGTACAAAATATATCACAATAAAAGGGAAAGATTACATTTCCTCAATACAATCAAATATTACAAATTAAACCATATCATTAATTACAAATAATATGTCAATTTAGATGTAAAACCAATATGCCAATTTAGTTACAAAAATTGAAAGAAATTCCAAGGCTAGGAGAAATAAGGTAAATGAGGATACAGATTGGCATAATTTTTAAGAAGGGATGCAAATATGGAAATTGCATTAATCAAATTAAAAATATTAAAATATTATTTATATAAATGTTTTCTAATTTAATCTGTCAAATAGTTATGCCTTACTGTTATGTTGTTCTTATCCACCACGGCAAAATTTGGATTTTAGTATTTTAGTGTGCACAAAAACAGAAAAATCTAACTTTATCTCATACTCCCTCCTTCCCATTTCATTTGAAATCCATTGAATTTCCAACTATTTATTAAAATATCATTTAGTTTTTTTTTTTTTTTTGTCCACATTTTAAAAACTATACCTGCTTGAAAAATGTAAAAATCCATATATTTTAAAATGGACTGGTAATATATATATATATATATATATATATATATATATATATATATATAATGACTTGGAATCTATCAAATTGTTACTGATAAAATTGGAAAATCATTTTTTTGACACGTGGATTGATACACAAGTAGAAAAAAAATAAAAAATGAAAGCAGTCCTAAGGTTAACACGTGGGTTTATATGCTTCGGTGTGGGTGCTTTGTAGTATTTGGGGGATTTGTTTTACAATAATGATAATTATTTCAGCACTAAAAGCACACATTTTATAGCATTTCTGTATTTCTTTCTTCGCCGGATGACAAAGAGAGAGATAAAAGCGGGTGCGTATGTATCATCCCAACAAAGAGCTTGACAAGAAAAGGCAATCTCGTCATCCGGTGAAGAAAGAAAGACCAAAATGCTATAGCCTTGCATCAGGAATAGAGTTCAAGTAAAAATGAATTGCACTAACAAAGTTCAAACTTATCAACATTACCTTATGAGTCGAATAAAATATATAAAATTATTTTTAAAAAATTATTTTATTTTAATATTTTATGTTATATTAAGCATCTATCAAAATATATTAAATCAAAATTTAATAAAAATTCATTTAATTTTATTATTTTTTAATCAAAATTTTGTATTTCACTAATTATTCTTTAAATTTTCATAAATTTTTTATTAAAAAATTATTTATTTATCTTATCCACAATTTTAGCTAAAAACTTATTTTATAGATTATTTTTTCTAAACATCTTTTTCTCTTATAATTTTTAATTAAAAAAATCAGAGGAAAAAAATAAGGACCAAAGTGATAAAAATAAAACAAAAAAGTGAAATCAAAATTAAATAAAAAAATATTTATGGACTAAAAAAAATATCAAAATATAATATTATGAAATCTTTTATAATTGATATCTTAAAATGTTTAAAAACTATAAAAATTTTACTATATAGTAAAAGTGACAAGTGCATATGAGTCTCGGGTGATAATGCATATGAATTTGAATGAATAATATTTGAAATAATACGATGAATAGTAAACTTATGTACTAGTTTAGTTTTTTTTTTTAATAATATTATAAATCACAGTGAACAGAATTAAACTTATGGAAATATCATAGAGAAACAAGAGTTACTGGATTGCAATTTCATCACAGTTTGAAGGACTGTAAATGGCAAACGATAGGTATTGGCTAATTTCCTATGTACCCACCAGCACCCCCATAAAAGAATTGATGTCCAAGCTCACTGTTTACAACTCCAACATCCCACTGATTATATGCAGGATTCCCTGAAAACCCTTCAACATTATCAGCATTAACAAAGTTAGTTCCATTCGCGTATTGGATTTTCCAACAATATGCGTCCGTTGATTCGCGGCCACTAACTTCAACGCCGGCTCCCATTGGCGCACTTGGTAGATTGGGAGGACCGTATACTTGTCCACCCCAATCAATGTAGGTAGCAAAGTTATTCAATCCAGCCTCAAATATGCGATAATTCCAATACCCAACAACAATATTGCTGTCGCCAATATAAAGGTACCAATTTCCAGTTTTTACATCCTATACACACCGAACAAAGTAAGAGAAAGAAGGTGAGTTGAGGATTTACATCCTTAATTAACCATCCAACGGTCAAAAGAATATTGCTTACCCGATCAATCATGAATTTCAAAAATGCTCCTTTAACTTTTGGTGTTCTTACGGGAAGAACCGCGTCGATAGGAAAAGTCGTAGATACTATTACAAATCCAGGACAAAATGTATTGAAACAACGAGACTGCCCAGCCTGTTTTGGAGTTGAGATGTTTTGAGTAATATTGAACTACTTCTATCGTAATTAAAAAGTGGATAAATATATTCATTTATTTATATATAATAGTTAAAGTTTTCTATCCGTTTCTAGAATTTTAATTACATTATATTTATTTTAAAAAAAATTTAAAATTTTCAATTTGTTTTCTCGATCAAATTTTTCGACCATGAAATTTTATTTAACCGAAATATTCTTTATTAAAATATAAAATAATAATAATAATAATAAACTTGAAATCACATGATCTATATGTTCTATTTTTAAAGTTTTTAGATTTTTTTTTCATTTTAATTAGTAGCATTTTGATATAAAAAATTATTTAATTGAAAAAATTTATCAAAATAACAGATTGAATATTTCAAATATTTTTTTTTAAAATGTGATACAATTAAAGATGTAAGGACATATAATTTTTTTTAAATATTATATAAAGACATTTATCCTTAATAAAAACAAACAAATGGATATAGAAGCTTACATTAGTATATATATACATTCTAGTCAGTTCTTCATTGTACACAAGCGGATTGACCTGAAATAAGAACAAACAAGAGAATAAGTGGAGTTTAACTTCTATCTTATACCAGGATTATCGTGATTGAAGTAGTTTTTTAGAATAAAAATATATTCAATGAGGATTATTATATATTTTACAAGTGCCAACATAATCTCTTAATAACAAAATTCCCATAAACTTGAAATAAGATATTCTTTTCTATTATCTATTTAACATTTGAGTTGACTTACCATCCACCCAACTTCTATATAGTCTGCACTGTTTTTGACTTTCATTCGGCCGTAACTTGATTGAGCATGGTTTACTTTAACGCCGTGTATGGTAGCTTGCATTTGAGCCCCATGGTATTTCTTGTTTGGATCAGGTTTAGTGCGTAATACAGCAAACTGTAACATGTAACTAATTAGAAATAATCATCTATCACAAAATTAATTTAGGAGAATGAAACTCAAATACGAACGATTAAATGGTTTTGAGTATTAATAAATTGTTGTACTTAGGCACAAGCTAAGATCAAGACTAGTTAGATGAGTCCATGAATTTCATAGACAATCGTGTTCATTTCTATTTTTAGAATATAAGCATGAATATTTGGATATAGTACACACTTTAATTCATCATTTATAATTTTTCTATATTAGATATAAAACTAGTATTTTTTTTTAGAATCAGTTTATTTTAGATACTTTTATTAAAAAAAAAACATCCACATAAATCATGAGTAAATTATAAATTAATCCCTCTTGTCTTGAGAAATAAATAAATTAATTTTTTTATTTTAAAAATTAATTATTTAGTCCTTTTAATCGAGTGTTGATGACTAATTTAATAGTTTTTTTATTTTATAAAATATTATATTTTTTTTATCAATCTTTCCATATTTTACTTATTTTTTTATTTCTTAAAACAACAAAAACAAAATAAATCGAAAAATAGTAAAAATGATTAAGTAATTAGTTTTTGAAACTAGAGAGACTAATTAATTTGTTTTTCAAAACTAGAGGAATTAATTGATAATTTACTCCATAAATCATACTTTCAGGTGGTTGTTGTTGTTGTTGTTTTTTTTTTTTTTTTTTTTTTTTTAAACTGATAGAATAGATCATGAGAAGTTAAGATATCTCACGAGTGAACTTATAAGAGGAACAACTCACATGAAGACCGGGAGTTTCCACAGATTGAGGATTGAATTTGGAACCATACATTTGTGAGGCCAGGTTAGCTCTAAGGAGATCTTTTTTAGTAACTTTTCTTATTGGAACAGTACCAACCGGACATCCCTTACCATTCAACCATATTTTACATGGATCGAAGATAGTAGAGTCATTTCCAGACTCATAATTTTTCCTCATGGGGTATGATGAAGGTGATATCTGCAATAAAGTTAATTAAATCTTAAAATAAAAGTGTCGAACTAAGGAGATATAATTGAGAATAAGAAAAAAAAAACAGGTTGGAAACTGCACCTTAAAATCAAATGTATGATTCTTCAATAATGGATGATCAAAAGCAGGTTGTTGGTAGAAATCAACACAATTGTATACATCTCCTTGAATTGTCTTCGAAAGAAAATAATGATTCAAAAGGTCCACAACAATATTAGTGTTGTGTTTAATAATGGAAATCTCTCTTTTATTTACAATTAATAAATAAAATTTGAAAAAAAAAAGATATTCATTACTGACTTTAATGGTTTTGACGGCTGGCTTATTCACAAGTTTGAGTTGCTTCTCCAATTCCAAATCTTCTTCTCTGGATAGCTTCTTACCTTCTATTCCATTATGGTTGAATAGACACCATATGAACAAAATTGATTGAATGACCCTTAAAGGCATAGCTCTTATCTAAATAATTAATGAAAGCAATGTTAGATTGTATTTCCCATAACTTTTACAAACACACAAATTCTCAAAAAAAAAAAAAAAAAAAAAAAATATATATATATATATATATATATATATAGAACAAGCTTACTAAACTTTTGAATTGAACAGGACCGAAACTCTTGACCTTGCTTTGCGTACATGACTATGGCAGAATGTGATTATATATAGATGCATATATGATACATAGGTAGATGTAAAATAAATGTTGGTTTTAAGAATAAAATTAATATCAATTTTGGGAACAAAATCAAATGCAATCCCGGATAACCAATAATAATTATTATATAGGAAAAAGATAAACACAAAAAAAAAAAAAGGAGAGAGAGAAAAATAAAATTGGGTTTAAATGTGATATTCTCTCTCCTTTTTGTTTATTTTCTCAAAATTTCTAAATAAAAATTAGGCTAATGAGGATATCACTATAATTTTTCAAAGGGAATGCAGATTAATAAGGAAAATATATTTAATCAATTTAAATATATAAAGGAATGTTTCTATAAATGCTTTCTAATTTAATCCCTCAAATATGATCAATTAATGGGGAAATATATGGGACTCATAAATTCGTATTCCATCTATTTAAATTGAGTCGTATATACTGATTGACCATTAAATTAAATTTAATATCTTTTAAAAAATAAAAAAAAACATATATAGATAAAAAAAGAAAATGAAAATAACATTAATTTTGATATATTGTTATCAATCAACACATATGATTTAATTAAATTAAATGGAGTTTAAAGTGATGGGTATTCCTGATGTACTGACGATATTTTCGATTAATAAAGATGTGTAGAAATATATTTTTGACAGATACCAACATTGGCAATGATAGCTTATGTGATTCAGGCAACAAATTAATGAAGAATATCTGAAGGTTGGAATGGTTGATTGGGCATCAAAGCCATTTGAATCTTGAAGAAGTATTTATGGTTACAAAATATATCACAATAAAAATGAAAGACTACATTTCCTAGTACAATCAGAATATTACAAATTAGACCACAATAAACGTTTGTAATTATCTTGGTTAAACGCATAACATCACTTTTAAACGAGGGTGAAAAAGTCATTTACTAAAAATATTGGGGTGTACATTATTAGTCCCCTACTATGAACCATTCTCAATAAAACTCCAAACTAATTAAAAGTTTTGTTAATTGGGTCATTAATGTATCATTCATTCTTGGGCCTTTGTCTCAATAAATCTCCCGATTTTTTAACAGAAATGTCAAATTTTAATAAAAACAAGAGGCCATCTTTCTGTATGATATATGCAATTTAATGGAAAACTTTAAGAAAATATATTTTTCGCCGTCCTTTTTATAGTGCATCATTGGTTCTCTCTGTTAGCTGCTACTCTTCGATGTGGGATATAAATTAGGCTAGAAATCATGCATTTTTCGCTAGATTAATTATCTCATGCAATAACCTGCAGGCAAAGACATTTTTAGAAATTCTGATGCCAACATTCGACTTCTTAACTTGTGCTTATAGTTATGTGCTATCTGAATTATTAAGAAATGATGAGATGATTCCAGCAAACAGATGGAAGGGTAGCTAAGGACCTTACGAACTTGCATTATATGGCTTTACCCTGAAAGACACTTCCTGAAAGCCATTCAGAAGGGCCAGCGACTATAGTTTTTCAACCAGCAATAGGTGCACCTTGTCGAAACTCTACCAGCAGCACCACTGCTCTAACCTTTAAGATAATTTCAACATTGCAAGTTTGGCTCTTATTTTCACAGAACAAGTATTGAAATATGAGCAAACAAAGGAATTTCACCATAGAAGTGACATCATCTTTCTGTTAGATTCTTTTTTAGATGGCAGAAGTACCTCTATAAATGACAGACTATAACTTCACCAATCCTGTCAGAAATTTTTGAAAAAGAAAGGATAATTGAATTATGATAAACTGACACTTTTGAACATAGAAAACAAACAATTTAGACAGAAGCCAACATTTTGAGTTTTGAACATAGAAAACATCATCTGACACTTAGCATTTGGAGAGCGTACTTCGACTACGTAGTAAAATACAAGCTGTTAACACACATTCTGAAATTGTTCTATGAATCAAGGGAAAGCCTCGATGACAGATTGCACAGCCCGAATTGGTTTTATGTTGTATCTGGTAAAGCCAGCCTCCTTAAGAACACATTTCCATTCCTCGGCGGTCCTCTCCTTTCCTGAGTTTGTAAAAGCCATCATTGCCATGTCTTTCATCAACCTCACAAACTCAAAACTGTCCTGTTTCTCTTCTCCAATCACAGTTTCTACAATAATGACCTTCCCTTTTTCCTTTGGAATAGCCTCTTTACATTTTTTAAGAATTCGGATACAATCATCGTTGTTCCAGTCTTGAAGAACCTTCTGCAGTTTACATTGTAAAAGCCAATACAGTTGTGATCAGAAACAAAGAAATAATATTCGAACAAAAGACTTATTTTTTAGTGGCATGTCTTGGATTGGAATTATTGGTTGAGATGAATGCAGAAGTCAAAGAAGATTAATCATAGGAATATGCCAAAATGTACCCTATTTTGATTTGACCCAATAATGGAGCAAGTTGCAACTGGTCTCTTGAGCAAGCATTCACTGGTTAAAACTCAAAACTACTTGGAGTTTGAGAAAAGGACTAAGTATGAAAGTTTTGAAGTAGAAGTTTTAAAACTTGAAATTGTTTGGGTAGGTGATTAATTCAAGGAAAATATACTAACCATGATGAAAACAGCATCAGCCCTTGGAACACTGTCAAACATGTCTCCTCCAACTTGCTTTACTCCTTCACACGCTGCTGCAATAGACACAACATGAGGAAGATCAAAGTTAATGCCTTCAATCCAAGGAAAAGCCTTGACAAACTTTCCCAATGCAGTCCCATTACCCCCACCAACATCTACCAAGGTCTTGAGTCCATCAAACATATCTGGACAACTTTCAATTACGGCAGAAACTGCCAGTCTAGCATCACAAGCCATTGCATCCTCAACAAGCCTGTTGAAAGTAGGATTTGCTGCTGCATATTTCCATATGTCCTCTCCATAAGCCCCTTCAAATGCTGGAGTCCCATTTACTCGAACACAAGAACTCAGATGATGCCATGGTGCTAGCATCAGAGGGCTGCTCTCTAACAAAATAAAATCAGCCATGCTTTTTTCTCCCCGCCTAAGCAAATGACGAGAAAGAGGTGTCTGCTCATAACCTGATGTTCCTCGGTTTGCTGGTTCTTCTTTGAAAAAACCGCTATGCACCAAGAATCTCATGATGCGATAAAGTGAGGATGGAACACATCCTAGAGTGTGTGATAGCTTTGATAATGTTATAGGACCTTCGTGGTTTTCGATGGCTTCAGCTATTCCAAGCTCAATTGCACACTTAACTACAGCCATACCAGTAAATCCAAGTACGTATTTCCATATTTCAACTTCAGCTTGTACATCTCCTTCCTCTGTCATCTCTCAATCTCTTTTATTTTCCCTCTGTCTATCTGTGTGTGCCTCCATAATCTTAAGGTTAAAGCTCCAAATATATACAGCAGAAAACCGAATCACATTAGGTATGCGTAACTTTCTCTGAGATTTGTCTAAACTTAAAAGATATTTAAAATCTTACCATATTTTTTGAACGAACAAGATATTTCCACTTTTATTTTACCACGTTTTTTGTTCATGTGAAAGGGATTGCAGACTGCTTAATTGGACCAACCTATTCTGGGTTAGTTGAGTTAAATTATTAGCAAAATAATTGATCAATAGTATATATCATATGCTAATCTGCAGGGAAAAACATTATGAGAATTGCTGAAAAGCTATCTTCCAAATTTGAGTCAGAATCCAAGAAATTACAGAACTAAATAGAAAACTTGAGCTAGTATTAAATTTGGCTCTAAAATGTTTTTAAGTAAAATCATTGTTTTTGTTTAAATCCTAGGCATGTAAACTCCTGGATTCTGCGCGCAACATGTTTCACTTTTTTTATGCCAGCATTCAAACTCTTGTGCTTATAATTATATGCTGTCTGAATGGTCAAGAAATCATGAGGTGATGCCCAAGTAAGAGATGGAGAACTATGGACCATATATAAAAACATTGCAATTATGTGGCTTAAGCCTAAGGGACATTTCCTGAAATTCACTTGTCAGCACTTCACAGCAGCGCCACTGCTCCCACCACCAAGATATTTTCTACGTCATAAATTTGGCTCTTATTTTCAGATCACCATTATTGAATGTATTTTTCCCACCAAGCAAACAAGGGACTTCATCGTAGAGGAAGCATCACTGTTTCTCTTAGGCTTTTTGAGATGGCATAATTAACTCTATGAATGACAGACAGTACTTCATAATCCTAAGAGAATTTTTGAAAAAGAATGCATTATTGAAGAATGATGAGAAACCGACAATAAACAACTACCTTTAAAAAACAAAAAATCTATGTAGGAAACCGCTTTTGAACATAGATGTCAAGCATGTTGGAAATTTGCGGAAGCTAAGTGAGTGAAAAAGAGAATTTTTTTGAAGAAAATACTTAGGTAGAGCTGCAGCTCAATACCTTTTATATTAATCTGATTTTTTTTTCTTATTACACCATACAAATGAAGGACTCTATATATAGGACTCTGACATTAAATTTTTGATTGAGAAACCTAGAGTCATAACAAGTTCCTAAGTCTAGAAACCACGAACGACATCTAGTAAACATGAATGACTTCTAGAAACTACAAAGACTACACGTTCCAAGAACTCTAGAAAACACAGACTTTGACTCACATGAATACTTACATTGAAATTACAAATTACTTTGCACTTCTCAACAAAGCATGCGGAGAACATCCTTCGACAATGCAGTGGAACACGTACAGACATTCTTAAATTGCTCTGTATATTGATCAAGGGAAAGCCTCGATGACAGATTGCACAGCTTGAATTGGTTTTATGGTGTAGATGCTAAAGCCAGCCTCCTTGAGAACATATTCCCATTCCTGGAGGTCCTCTCTTTTCCTGAGTTAGTAAAAGCCATCATTGCCATGTCTTTCATCAACCTCACAAACTCAACATTGTCTTTTTTCTCTTCTCCAATCAAAGTGTCAACAATAATGACCTTCCCTTTGTCCTTTGGAATAGCTTCTT